GTCTTGGCCCCAGTTTGTCCTTTTCTCCGTCCTGCCGCTACCCAACGCCCTCTTGCCGCCCAGCATGGCCCTGCTGCACTCCGGCCGCGTCCTCTCCGGGGTCGCCACCGCCTTCCATCCAGGCCTCGCCGCCGCCGCCGCCTCTACCAGAGCCAAGTAAGTCGGGGGATAGGAGATGAAGCCGGGCGACAGGCCTGCCCAGCCGAGCCGCGGGCGCCCGGACGTCCACCGCGCCACGCCTCAGACGCACACTCGCGGCCTCTCTCTGTCTCACTCACACTCACACACACACACACACACACTCACACTCACTCTATCTATTACACACACACCTTCTCCGAGAATCCCTCCACTGTTCTCTGAGGGCTGAGAATTGGGTGTCCGCGTCTGACAGAGACACCCGGCGTCCTACCTGCCTTTCTGCCCTGAGCCGGACACTGCAGGAAAGCGAGCCGGGACTCTCCTTCCAAGGGGGGCGAGAAGCCCTTTCGGCACGATGGGGGCGGGGGACTACGAGGAGAGCACGCGGGCCGAGGCGCCCTGCCGGCCACACGCCGATTGGCTGAGGCTCGGGGATGCCGCGCACCGATTGGCCGCGGCGCCGGGGGGCGCGCGTGCCCTTGACGGACTGCCCTGGGGGTGGCGGCGGCGCGCACCTGTCGTGGCTTCCCGGGGGCTGACCGAGTGGGTCGGGCGGCGCTGGCTGCAGCTTGTGTCCAGGGGAAGCCTGTGGGGGAAGGTACCTGGTGCGCCGGCGTCCAGATCCTGCTCTCCTCACTGCATCCCGTGACCTTGGCATGCAGCATGGTCCCCGGTGGCCCCAGGTCCCCTTGGCCTTTGGATGAGAAAGGGTCCAGGTGTAGTCCGCCTCCTCCCCCACCCCTCTGCTTTTTGAAAGCTCTTAAAAGTTGTAGAGAAGTCATCAGTCTTCCTCTCATCTAGCTTTGCTCTTTGATTCAGTAAATATTTCGTAACCCCCGTTTCTCAGCCAAGCGCTGGACCAGATTCTAGCCATACAGTAGTGAGCAAGACTGAAGGAAGAACAGGCATCGCTCAGAAACATGACTAGTGTAATTTTTTTTTTTTTTTGGAGAGGTTTTTGCTATAGGGTGCGTGCCCTCGCCAGGCAGAGAGACATAGAGACAGAAAGCGAGAAATCACCCCCCAGGGGGGATGGTCACACCGCAATCCCTTCTCCTCCATTCTCCTCTCGGGATCCCGGGCACGCACGCACACGCGCCTGGCGTGAGTTTAGTGCAATTTTTAACTGTAGTATTTAGTGCAGAGAAGAAAGATTCTGAGCATAAAATGAGCTACTAATTCCTTCCTAGTGGAGACCTGAGCCAGGTGATTAATTCACTCAATAAGCTGATTTGGGACAGTCTTCTTAAGTACTAATGAGGAACCCAGTCTTAAAACCACCCCTAAGCAGATATTAACTTCTAGGAGCCAAGCCTTGCTCTTAGGCCTTTATAAAACTGTGCTGGCCTTTCTGAATATAAGCATGTCTTTAAGCCAGTAGAACAATCTGTCCTTTCCAAAGCTCCCTACTCTTGGCAGTACAGTTTTGCACAGGCTTCCACACTTTCATCTCTTCCTGATTTGGCTCAGTCTTGGCCCATTATCAACCTGTACTCTTTTAAGCCTGCCTAACTCCTCCTCCAGAATTAGAGGGGAGTTGTTTATGCAGCAAAAAACTGAGAAGACAGAGAGAAGTGCCTAAAATTACTGGGGAGAGAATTTTTATTTTTACCTTTGTTGTGATCTTAAAACAATCCCATGTTTTGTGGATTTGGCTGAGTGTCCTGAAGCTCTGGTTAGTCTTGGCGAAAATCTTTTTGGGTGTGACCTTTTAATCATTTTTTTCTTCTTCAGTTCAAGAGCCTGACTTATTTTTCTTTTCTGTCATTCCCCATTTGAATGTAAGTTCTATGAGAGCAGAGACCTTACCCAATTTGTTCCCCTTGCATTGGTTAAAGCAGCACCTGCAGGCCTGTTTTAAACCCTGATGTTTAACTTAATGAAATAAACCAATTATGATACTTTATTGTAATATATTAGGTCAAGACCTAAACACATAGGGGAACCCCAGTGCTGCAAAATATGTACCACAGGGACCAGCATGTGGCGTGGTGGTTAAGGTGCAGAATGCTCCCACATGGCTGACCATGGGTCCTGGACCTGATGGCTTGTTTTCTCTCCTTCTCTCTCTCTCTCTCTCTCTCTCTCTCTCTGCCTGTGTGTGTCTCTCTAGTCAAATAAAAAATAAATGAATGAATAAAGTTAAATATTTTAAAAAGTATATGTACCATAATATAAAATACTAAAGTGAGCAAAGTTGAGGAGGACTATTCAGGTTTAAATAATGATTGGTGATTAGATGATAGAACCAGATGCCATATCTGACCATGAATGTTACTATTCAGACAAGGAATGGATGGATACCTTTCTCTTTCACTGTAGAAGTGATCCTAACCTAGAGCTACATAGTACAACTGGAAAACATTTAAAAGAAATTCAACTGCATATTTTAGGTTTATTTATCTGTTTCTTCCATGAGCAGAAACAGAAACAGCAACCTCTACAAGGTCCCAATGCCATAATCCACTCTCAGCCAGCCCCAGATCATGAGCACACCTGTGCTCTGCAGACCCAGGTAGGTCTCCACATATGACCCTGGGACCTTCTCATGTGGTTCAGCCTCAAAGAACATTACATTTTACCCCTGCACCACCTCCAGCCCTTAGCTACATTTGTAACAGAAAGCACTGAATGTTTTTAGTGCTGATCTGTGCTATAAAAGCTTAGTGACATTAGATTAGATATAGTGACAAGTCAGTACAGAAAGATAAGTATGCTAATTTATTTATAATGATGGGGGTTTTGTTGTTTTTTGTTTGATTTTTAAGATTTTTGCCACACGGTGTGTCCTTACCAGAGAGAGAGAGAAAAATCACCCCTGGTGGGGGGGTGGTGGTGGTGATGGCTATGCCGCAGTCCCTTCTCTATTCTCTCCTTGGGACTTTAGGCACCCACACACACGCAGCTGGCATGTTTTTCAAGCCTCCAGGTCCAGGTCTCAAACCGTGCAGTTGGCCATGTGCATTCCAGCCACCTTAATCACCACGCCACCTGGCTGGTCCCTATACTGATCTGTTTTTAATATTTAATTCTGATTAATTTTTAGTGAAATAACTGAAAGAATATCATGAGACCCTTTTAGGAAAGGCCATTTGCAATAGCAGTATAATAACGAGTAGTTAGAAGATCAAAAAACTACAAAGCACTAGATAGGCATGAGCCCCCAGAAAATTGGAAGGCATTTGATTTAGAAATGCTTATCTAGGGCCAGCAGGTGGTGTGGAGCTTTAGTGGCTGGATCCCATGTGGCCGACTTTGTAGTTGAAGTCCCAGACTCAGTGGCTTGAAAACTACTCTGGGCACATGTCCATGCATGCCTGAAACCGCAAGAGGAGAAGGGGTTGTGGCATGGCCATCTCCCCTGGGGAGTGATTTCTCATCCACACCTCTGGCACACGCACACACCCTATAGTAAAACTAAAGTGAAAAAGAAGAAATGCTTATCTGAATACTTTGTACCTAACATATTTTGGTTGACTGGTCAATATTGCTCAATGTTGTGAGATTTTGTGATTATGTCCAAAGTGCATTGATTGGAATGACTTTCTAGGTCACAGGTTATCAGCATCAGTTTTGTCCGTAGAGCACTCTTATTTTCAGCTGGTACAATTATTAACATCAGAGTTCTCAAAATGTGTGAATATCTTTACTCTTTTGAGAAATGAAATAACCTATAGTATGGAGGACCTAGAACATAGTAATAGTCCTGTTACTAATGTAGGACTAATCAAGAGAGTATCCTAGCTCTTATATTTACATTGTTAAAAATTCACAGTTTTGAAATTACTTTTAGAGGGACCAGCAGATGGCATAATGGTTAAGTCACTGGATTCCCACGTAGTTGACCATGGTTCAAGTCTCAGACCTGGCGGCTTAAGCTGATACCGGGTGCATGTGCATGAGTGACCAAAATCCCAAGAGGAGAATAGAGGAAAAGGGATTGCAGCATGGCCATCCCCCCTGAGGGAGGAGTTATATCTCACTTACTGTCTCTCTGTTCCTCTCTCTGTGGTGAGTGCATGCGCCCTATAGCAAAAGTCTCTCTAAAAAACAAAAAAATTGCTTTTAGAATTCTTAAATGCTGTTGGATGGTAGTGCAGTAGTAAAATGCAGTGTTCTGCAAGGCTAACCCACATTGGGAAGATGGGTTAAAACCACCTAGAAACTTCCCTGAGTATACTGGGCACACAAGTTCCCAAGATCCAGGCTGGCTGAAGCTAGGGGTGGATCTCAGTTCAGGGCCCTGTTGGGGCTGGTGTCTCTTTCTCTCCCTCTTTCAAACTCATGGGAGAAAAATACTTTTTAAAAAATTATTATTAAGAGATATATCAGGGGACCAGCAGTTAGCGTAATGGCTATGTTGCTGGACTCACACATAGTTGACCGTGGTTCGAGTCCCATCCCCGGTGGCTTAAACTCACGCTGGGCGCGTAAGCGTGAGTGCCCAGGATCCCGAGAGGAGAATGGAGGAGAAGGGATTGCGGCGTGGCCATCCCCCCTGGGGGGTGATTTCTCGCTTTCTGTCTCTCTGTCTGTCTGTCTGTCTGTCTGGCGAGCGCACGCGCCCTATAGCAAAAACCTCTCAAAAAAAAAAAAAAGAGAGCTATCAGAAGATTCAAGGCTATGGTGCTTGAGAGAATTTCTGTGCTTGATGTTTAAAAGAATGTAACAAATAGATGTTTTTCGCAGAATTTAACAAGAGTAGTGCCTTTTGTTCTTGTGGGTTGGAGCAGCTCTGTGGTTGATTGAGGGCCTTGGAGATAAATCACCTTTATAAAAATGGTTTTAAAATCTAACATGTCCTTGGCATTCATTCTCTTCACTCGGTATTAATGACAGTGATGTAGATAGGCAGGAGGCTACGTGTTTTCAGGTGTAAATTGTGGATAAAGAATAATGAACAGTTTCTTCTGGCCCAGTTTAGAAGTTGCTGAAGCATCTGCATTTCTTCCCATTGCTTAGATACCAGGAAGAACTAAGCAGCCTAGAGTAACAACAACAGAAAATGAGATGAA